TAACTGAATTTTGTGGAACTTTATCGAAAAAGATATTCGAAGCCATTGCAAGTCATTTAGAACCAATAGTACCTAGTTTTAAGTGAAATACTTTATTCTGTTTGATTTCTAGCTGCTTTGCATGTTTTCTTTGATTTTAGATAGCTACTAATATTCAGAGTGCCTTTCGTAGATTTTGAAAATCATCTCTCCTAATTGTACTTAATTTCTGAGCTGTTTCAATAAGTTCTGTTGATTCCGAGCGATTACTTAAAGCCAATTGATGCTCACAGGAACCGTCAGATATCATTAAGAACGAAGGAATCAGCTTTTCTCTCTCTAGTACAGCCGTGAGTATTTATCATTTCTTTTCTACTATCATAAGTTAGAAAAACACTGTTTTAATTTATATGAAGTATTTCTAAGGTAAGACCCCGCGTTTTGTCTTTCTCAGGATAGTAGAATGAAAAAGAAAGCGCAAGAATTCTTTTCGTGCCTTCTATCCAGTTGAGACAGAGAGATATTAAATAATCCTTTATAGTATTATTTTGATTGTCATATTCTTTGTGTTGTTCATTCTCGTCTGAACGTTGTATTGACTACGTTACATCTTTTATTCATTTGTTGAATTTAGAGATGTGATAATATCAGTATATTATTCATATAAAACGCTAAACTCAGATAGTGGCTGGAATCAGTCTCCTTCACTTGAACATTAGCTCTCTGATACTGATTTTAATTGAAAATAATATGATAATTTTTTGACTAACTGCATAGGATAATAGAAATGAGAAAATATGACAAGAGAAATACGTAGCATGTGTGGTATGCCGACATATTCCTGTATGGCTCCATCGGATTCGTATTGCATCCGATATTTTCTAGCTTTCAGTTCAAGTAATTATCTTACAACTGTCGAAGGATTCTACTAGAAGTCGTTATGTTCCTACGTAATTGATTCGACTGCTTTGAATATGGAATATGATTTGCCAGGGCAACGGCTTCTTCACACGTGATAGACTAGATGATGATCCTGAATTCTCTATAGAATTTCAGATGAACAGGTGAAATCAATTTAAAATCTTATTGTTTTTAGATTTACAAGTTACTACAAATCGCTCCTGAAAGTTTCAGTCAAAGTGCAATCATGCATGACGGGTTAAAACAACAGGAAAATGAGTGATTAATCGAATGATCGTCTAAATAACTTCAGTCCAAAGTCACTGGTTGATCGCTCTATATATGGTGCGCTATGTTAACGGATAATTGGAATATTTAAGAAGCGATAGCTTAGAATCGGCGATATATTAATGTTAAAACAGTAGTAGATTCATGCTCAGCTAGTGGGGTCAGCCTTGTAACCCACTATTCCAGAACATTATGGTTATAAAACTATATGTGCATCCTCATAGGTAACAGATTAGTCAGATGAATCATGTATTTATAGAACTTTCTTGGTTTTTATATTTCTATCTCTTTCTCTTAATTTATATTTGAGTGGAATCCGACCGTTTCTAAGAAAAAATGGAAGGTGTAATATGCATATTTCATTCTGATATAGTTTAATATACTTAGCAGATGTCTCAAGATATATAGCGTCTAAACATAAGAGTATTCTTTTATAGGCAAAGCCCGCTGATCTAATTTGATGTTGGTGACAATTTAAATTTTTTTAAAAATCATAAGAATATAGATCGTAGACTTGAGTAGTACTATTTGAATCTTTATTTCATTATTTTGTTGATAGACACTGAGAGTAGATGACCACAAACTTTATTTTTTTGAAAATATTATGGATTGTTTTAATATGCGGTACGATAGCAAAAGTATTATAATAAATAGATTTCTATATGAATAAATAGGATTTGTACTGACTATAGTATCAGTTATTAAAATAATATTTGTAATTAATATGCTTAAAAGTAGAAATACCGATTTTATCAGAAATAAAAAGGGAAAACAATAGTTTAATGGTGATTGAGCGGGGTGGACGTTGGACTGCTCCAATCAGAAGAAACATGAGGAAAATCTTTGAAGTAAGAAGCAGCTTATCAGAATCTTAGATACTATTATCTCACAAAAAAAAGAGTTATAATTTGGATGAAAAGATGTGATATCGGATCTTAGTAATAAGCTTGGTATTCGATTCGGTTATATCTATTCAACGGAGTAACCAAAAGCGACCATCATTACACCTCAGCGCTTTTTTAATCTATAGTATACTATGGTATTCCAAGAAACCACCAGTATCCCAATAGTATATTGGCGGTTTCTCCGACTAGCGTGGTATATCAGCAAAAGTTAATATATATGTACAATATTGATACAGATGAGAAGACTATTGATATTTTAAGAGAACACTAGCTAGATATGATAGATTTTTTTTGCAAGTGTAAATCTAATCATTCCATTACTTTTCATTGACATCATTAAGATAAAAAAAATAAAAGACAATCATTTTAGCACAGTTCACGACTCATTTTTTCAACGAAAGCCCATTTCAGTGCAATCAGTGCTTTAATGGCTTCAGTATTCTTAACTGCATTATCATTATTTCGGTATTGATATCAACACTTTAGTCTTCAATTTGCAAACTATCTAGAAGCGATATTCATAAATAGAATTTAAAGAAACAATAACTCTACCCATTCGGTTTTTCCACAATATATTATGATTCTCTTATAAGAAAAAATGAATAGTGTGTAATCCAATATCCATATTTCTCAGATCATGAACCAACGTAAAGTTTACCATTAATTAATAATAAAGATATCTGATTAAGTATATATGTAGAGCAGAGTTGGTTATAAGCTCCATGTTTTAGTCGAAAAGCATTCAACATACATAAGAACATCTGATTATGATATTTATAGAGGCCAATTCTTGTACTCTTCTTGGGTCTCACTTTTTTCTTCTACCAATGATGTAATCAACAGTCTGAGTAATTATTCGCGAAGATTCTCGAATTCGATTATTTGTTGGATAAAACGATAATTGCAAAAAACTCCTTCAGTGCATTCAGAGAACAGAATTACTCACATTATTTTCAGTCATGAAATTTTCTTTTCATGAGAATCATGTGCAATCAGAAAAATTCGTAAAAATCAGTTAAATACACTTGAAATGGCACGAATCGCCTTAAGTCATTTCAAATAAAAAAATAAGTCACAGATCGCTGTTTTCCTGCTTGTATGAATGTCCAAAGAAAAGTTTCTTTACATTTATAGAAGCTTTTGATGCTACAAGATCCCAAATACTCGGGAGTGTTTACAATGTCACAGGTCGTGGCTGCTACATCAGCATATTTGTCATGTTCTATAAACAATAGTTTCTTATCCTATTAGTATTGAGCATTTATTGTCGACCATGTTTCAGAAAGCACCAATTCGAGTGCATGGCTTCTAAAATTCGCGTCTACACTATCGAAATACGAAAGGGTCTCAACGGTGAGAAAGTTATAAGGGTAAAAACTATTGCAGTACTATTGGAAATGTATAACACACTATCATTGTTAGGTTCTTACCGAATGTCTAGATAGCGGTCCATCCTATACAGACAGAACATGAAAAGTGGATATCGACAGTGCAGATCTGCATGCATGATTTTTTTTTGTCTCTCATTTGCTTTACATCTTTAATAGTTCATTTTCGGCGGAGTCACATCTACAAACAAGTGATGCACACAAGGCATGCTTTTTGAGAAACAGATATTGATTGAATATAGATACTTTCGAAAGTCATCTACATGTGTCTCTATCCCTATACGTAGCGCTCCTAAATTCGCCATGGAAACCTCTAAAAGTTGTAAGGAAAATTCAAGGTTTAAGCATTGGATCATGAATAGCCATTTTTCAATGTTGCACAAAAGGCATCTGTAATAATAGCGTCACAAATCCATTATTGAAGTACTAAGTTCATATTTTTCTCTAAGGAAATATCTTCAAGAAGTGCGACATCACTTCGAAAGTCTACTTTTCCTGCAGTGAAGTACTGAAAAACTACTTGCAGAACACTCTATTAAAAAAACTCGTCATTTGAAATGGAACAATACCAATCGAAAGCAAAGTTTCTCTGATTCAAGATGCAAATGGTTTTTTTCACAATATAGGTCTGTGTCGTAGATCTCAGAGAGAATATAATAATAACACCTACGGATGACACGTGATCGATTGCTCGAAAAGCCATTGTCTTTATTACGCTGGTTTAGCCAATAAAATTTGTGTATGTTATACATAGCACTTGTTACACGACCATACAGTTAATGTCATGAAGTAGCAGTTGTGTCCACAAATTCAAACTGATGACATCATTATTAAATGACTCCAACGATGTTCAGTTCGAAGTCAAGCTTGACTGTTGGTGACATCATCGATCACCACATCACAAATAAATCATTCTCATTATCACTCTGTTCAACTATGGTGTGCAGTTCGAAGTCAAGTTTGACTGTTGGTGACATCATCGATCATCACACCACAAATGAATCATTTTCATAATCACTTTGTTCAATCATGGTGCTCAGTTCGAAACCAAGCTTGACTGTTGGTGACATCATCGACCATCACATCACAAATGAATCATTTTCATCATCACTCTGTTCAACTATGGTGCTCAGTTCGAAGCCAAGCTTGACGGTTGGTGACATCATCGACCATCACATCACAAATGAATCATTCTCACGATCACTCTGTTCAACTATGGTGCTTAGTTCGAAGCCAAACTTGATTGTTGGTGACATCATCGATCATCACATCACAAATGTAGAGGATAATGCTGGCGAACTGTTATTCACAGGCTTCGCAGATCTTTTCGTATTGAAAGATTAATTCTGTTCTTTTGCAAGAACTTCACAGTACTTGAATGTGATTTATCACATTGAAAGATCTTTCCAACAACCACCCTTCTGCATACTTTCTGCAGTGAAACTTTTACCTTCAGTCTGAATGTTATCATAGAGGAACATATTCGATTGTTGCAATAGTTAGACTCAAGTATTATGCGCATTTGTGACTTAGATGCCATCTACTGGCTGGCAAGCATATCTGAGAAAGATGTTGAATGACAAGCACCCTGAAATGGACAGACGAAATGCTTTTCGTTCGATGACTTTGAAGTAGTCTTCGAAGTATCCTCTAAATAAATGAAAAAAAAGTATACGTATCAGTGCATTGAAAGGAAGTATTATGGATGGGTTCAGTTGCGACCATGATTGTCTTTACTTCGGTTAAATGTTACTTGATATTCAGTAATGAAGTACCACTGGGATTTCACTTATTTTAAAAAATAAGATTTTATAGTAAATCGGAAGTTCCTTCAAAGTACTGTCGGATGCTTCTACTAGTCTCAATAATAGAGTTAAACTCTCACGTGTACATTATTATTAATAGTGTGAGATGAAGCAAGCATTGAAGTATATTTTCAATTTCACATGAGAGTATGTTCGCTTGAGTTTCTTCCAAATTCTTCGAAGGACTCTCCGAGACTGCCAATAGAAACCAAATATAGCGGGAATAAACGCAGCACATGTTTCTTTAGCATGAAGTAATCGTATGAATGTCAAAGTTTATTCTTCATTTTTCAAAAGAAACTCAAAGGGAAGCGAATTAAGTCAAGTTTTGCAATGCAAGAAATATTTTCACTATCACCATTAGATAAAGTTTTGGCTACTACAAATAACTATTCAACGAAACAATTCAGTAATTCTCAATACCGAATAATGACTGAAGACCATGGAATATGTCTAAATTTGTCAGAATTTCGGTACAAGTTCGATCCGGGATTAAAGATTAATACTTACTATAAGAGCAGAATGCACTCGTTTCTTATGAAAGGATCCTCCAAGAACTATTGGGTCGTTTGTATGTTCTTAAAGTATGTCTTGAAAATTCTGTTGCAATCACATGAACTCCATGAGACTTCTGAGATTATGCAGAATATGCATATCTGTGCTACATGAGTGATACTCTCTACTGCAAATCGTTATATATTTCGCATAAATTTTGTATGCTTTCACTTAGAAGCACCGGCTTGTACTTCTGAATAACTTCTCATAAACTATTAAAGCAAATTTCGGTACAAAAAGGCAATGCCATAAGATGACACTGAATACATTTCCAGCAAAAAATATACCAATATGACAAGTCTCGCTGTTTGCCACCTTTATTGATGTTTTTATCCTTACTGAAGGAGTGAATATATACGACTTTTGAAAATAATATTTGGTCGACCTATCATCAACTGCAAACTGGAATTACATGGAAACTATAGTCTAATATTCCCTAGACTGAAAGGCTAGGGTCTAGAAACCGTAATTCACGTGTGTCTGTATGTCCGTCTGTCTGTTTGTCTGTAACAAGAACTTGGCACAAATGACCGTTTCTATGGCACAAATGAACATTTCTATTGCACAAATGACCATTTCTATTGCACAAATGACCATTTCGATGATAGAAATTACCATTTACATGGCATAAATGACCAGGAAAATAGAATCATTTGCTTGTCATCATGCCGTCAGTCTAGGGCTTAGTGAATCGACCTTCGATGTCGATGAACGTTACTTGTTTTTTCCAGCCTCGGCGAAATATCAAGCATTTGGTCAAAGGACACTTGTGTTTAGTAAGCACTACCAGACAGTGATTGATCACCATTCATCGATTAGTTCGTTCAGCGACTAGAGCTCGTGTTTTTAGAGTAGAATACGCTCCATGAAAAATCTATCGCTAAAGGGATGATCAATTTTCAAATTACTACTCACATATGGCATCAGTAATTTAGAACATCTCTGCAGAAGATGAAACTTCCTCATCCATTTGTTAAGGCGCATCGTTAGAAATGAAGAGAACCTATTCAGATCATGGTATATTCTATAATTTTTCAAGAACTCGAAGGAAGAAACTGACTCAATTGGGATCTTTTCTATTTGTATTGATTGAGAAATTTTTCTTGCCTTAGTGAATCTAAATTTTTTTAGTTTTTTAAGAAGATAGTTCTTATCAGACAATCATTCTTCTGACACTGATCAATTATCTTATTCTCAATTTGATCACAGACGTATTTACATATCTATAGAGATAGGAATGCCGATCGACAATGCGAAGGATCGAATCTCGATCGCGTATAACTAACGTTTCTTGAACATAGTCATAGCCTTTTCTCATAAAGATTCTTTCAGTCACATCTGTTCTGAAACTTTTTTGTTTAACTTTGCGACATATTTCGAGAACGCATCGTAAACTAAATAAGAAATTTAGTTACCTGTCGACATTCTGACTGTGGGTGCTTTGGGCGGGACTGTCATTTCATTAGGCATAAGAAGCTCTTCACTATTGGACTTCTCTATCACTTTGATCATTCGAATAGATGAACGTATGTCTTTATCATCTATAATATCGATATTCATTGGTTCCTCAAGCATCTTTCGTAATTCATCCAACTGTTTTATCCATCCGCCAATTTCTTTTTCTGTATAAAGGTTAGATTTTTGCTTTGATTTCAACTGATCAGCTATTTTACCAAGGGAATCTCCCATCCGATGTTTTGTACGATCACAAAATTCTTGAAGATCTGCTCGAGCTTGCTCGGTCGCAGCTGTAATTTTTCTAATCGATGCTTGTTCCCATGCATTAATTCGAGAGAAAAGTTGTGAAGTATTGCTGTGCTGACTGAGAGCGTCTCGCAGTTGGTTATGTTCTTGCACAACCTCATCCATTTGTTTATCGAGCTGTTGTCGATGTTCCATAAAATGAGGCAGACAAAATCGTTTATCACATCCATTACACGTAGCTACTCCAATTTGACATTCAGCACAAGGTTTATCTTGTCTAGCTGATGCCATTTAATAGTCTAGAAAGTAGTTTACGCTTTTTGTCTCCTGATCGGTCTTCTATCTATCTTTCCTCTTTGTATTTAATGTGTCAGACACAAAAACTGCGACGTTTGGTGTAAAAGTGAATCGAATAATATTTACTTACGACATCCACCTGTAAAAAAGTAATAACATTCGTGTGAAAAATCCTGAGATTGGAGAAGAAAGCACGGAAGAAAGAGAATAGTTATTGCGCCATTACAATGTAACGTTTTCAGCAGACAAGTGTGTTCTCTTTGCTCGAAACGATGCTAGCGACGAAATTAGTTAAAAACCATCATAAAAAATTTTGAAAAATAATCTCATCTAGATAACTGGCTAATCTTTGGAGAGTTCTACTGATCATAGCACAGTTACTGGGCGTATCAAGCTGAAATAAAGAATCTCTAAGCTGAATTTTAATTAAAATTTTGTAAAACGATTTAAGTTTAGGGACAACTTTTGAAAATCTTATTATTAAAAACATACATTAAAAGGAAATTGTTTTAAAAGAATTTAATTAAAATTTATCTTGTTTTAACTAAATTTTCTGCGATTTGTGGGTATGGGTGAGTGGGTGTGGGTTCTATTAAAGAGAAGATCCATACCAGCATCCACACCCACATCCTAAGTAAAAGTCTCTCTTTTAGAATATATGAAAATATTGAAGTCTTATTTTATTACCTTACCGTTAGTGGTGGCCTCTCAAATTTATGTAACCGGTAAACTTTCGTGATGGCTTTTTTAAGCATGACTTCTTATAACTTAAGAGGAAAGGTCTCCAAGTGTGAATCACCATTTCGAATCTAGTATTTGCCATTTTGTAGAGCTCAGTGAGTACAACATATGTTATAAAGGGTTCGTCTCGATACTGGACTTTTAATGGACTACGAGGTACTATAGAGAGTGCCCTATAATAGCTAAGAATAAATTGTTGATGGTATTTTTCATACTTTGTCTTGATATGGAGGGTTGAAATTTTTATCAAACATATATCTAATCAAGATCTTTTATTCCTGAAAGTTTCAGTTCTCTAGCTTTAACTAGCGGTGAAATACATCGACGAGTTTGAGATACATAAATTTTTGTACTTGATTTTTGCATTATACAGTGAAAATAACGCAGGTATCAAGTACGAAAATTTATGTATCTCAAACTCGTCGATGTATTTCACCACTAGTTATAGCTAGAGAACTGAAACTTTCAGGAATAAAAGATCTTGTTTAGATATATGTTTGATAAAAATTTCAACCCTCTACATCAAGACGAAGTATGAAAAATACCATTAACAATTTATCCTTAGCTATTATAGGGCACTCTCTATGGTACCTCGTAGTCCATTAAAAGTCCAGTGTCGGAACGAACCTTTTATATCACATGTTGTACTCACTGAGCTCTACAAAATGGCAAACACTAGATTCGAAACGGTGATTCACACTTGAGGACCTTTCCTCGTTAGTGGATGATGATTGAGATTCTCTAATAAGTATCAGTCGTTCTGTAGACTTTATTAAAGCCAAGTGATGTGATGCAAGACTAGACTTAGTCACCGGTTGTGGAAAGTCATCGAAAATTACAATCACTTGATGCGGTGCGAAAGGAATTAATCTACATACAAATTAATTGAGAAAAATTTATTTCAATAGATAGAAAGCGTCTGTAACCAAAGTATCTTTTCTTCGTTTCATTCACTTAGATCGTTCGATTTGATTAACTTTATTTATTCTTTCAACTAAATACACGAATTGATCTCATGATGAAAAACTAAATGTGTTGTTTTCAAAGTGGAAACAAGCATGAATACATCGATGACATTATTTTTTTAATCCTATGCTTGAAGAATTAAATTCAAAAGTTGACATTTCTCACTGATAAATTGATACAGTTTGCATCACTTTGTCTATAAGACGAATGGTCAAATTAAAAAAATGTTACAAGGAGCGAGATCTTAAATCAAAAGTGCTTTAATTCATCTTAATCGTCTCTATGTTCTTCACAATTGTACAGATAACTCGGGAGAAGATTCACAGACGACATTTCTATAGAATCCATGTATGCAAAACTTTGTTAATATCGTTGCCAATATTTCACCCTTGGGTATGTTCTCTTTTCGACTCACACAAAACATTTCAAACCATTCATTTGATGTTAGTATTATTCAGTTTTTACTCGAAAATCATCTTTTTTAATCAGATTATGAAAATAAAATTCACAGTACGTTGCACCTACCGACTCATGGAGATACCAAAGATCGCTTATAGATCTTACTAACAGTTGATCGATTCTCCTAAAAATTGAAACACTTAAGCGCAGCTTTATAGAACCCAATCATTATTATTAAATGGTCTTTTTCTAATGGAAGAGTCAAATTGAGAACTTATGAAAAACTAATTACAGATTCAGATTCTTTCACCTACAAAGCTTCATATTCAAACTTATAAAAAAGTAGGCATTTTCAAAAAACAGCGTTTCTGTAATGATAAAATAGAAAAACTTCATATCTTCCTTATATGAGACACTTAATGACTTAATTTTAAGCGAATTAAGTGTTAAACGAAGAAACTTAATACTTAATTTTAAAAATTAAGTGATGACTAATAAACGTTTTTATTAATATTAAGTGTTAAGTTAAAACTTAATCCTTAATATTAAAATAAGTTAAAGTGCCACCCCTACCCACACCCACACCACACCCTAAACTTGATACCAAATAGTTAGCGGTATGAGGAAACACCACAAGATTCTCAGCTTCTTTATGAAACCTTTAATATAGTTTTCTGTAGTGTTGATAAGCTTTAGATAGTCCTACGAAATGGTATGTGATTCTAAGTGTTAGCAAGAGCTTTCTTCTTTTAATTAAGAAGTATTTCGCGTTAGGTTCAGTACAATATTTATATAAGAATATTTCTTTCTACAGTAGTTCAAATAACACAGTAATGCTCACAACAAAGCATTTCAGAAGCTCGAGAACTGTTACGAAGAGGTGAATTAGCAAATGCCCGAAGAATAAGCAAAATAAGCCGCGAAATGATTTGAATAATAAGACACAATATGCATGTAACTAAAGACGTCTTAGGAGCAACTAATATAATATGTACCATTGAGCGAAGAAAAATGTCAGCGATCAAAGAAATAAGGTAATACTTTATTGAGATTAAATAAGCAGGTATGTTTATCTTGAATTTGGACTCAGTCACATTGAATGAAACGACCAGAGAGAAGAAGCGAAGGGAAACGTAGATTAGATACTTCTTTCAGATTGTAGCACTAGTTGATAGTAAAATTTCCTACACATGAAGACTAAATTCGACGTTGAATGAAACTCTTAAAAAGCAATAAATTCACTAGCAATCGATGTGAATGTTGATTACTTTATTCTTTTCGCACTTTGAATTCACACCAATTTATAATAAACCTATGAAAAATGTTATTTTTCTTTCTGAACTATATTCAGATACATCTCTTTTCCTACAGATATCGTCAGTATTCATCAAAATTATATTTTCGATAGATAACCAATAAATTAAAACTCCAACATTTATTGTTTTTTCTAACTTCAATTTCAATTTTAAAATCTTGTCTCTGATCAGTCTAATTAAACGGACCACGATTACTTGTTTCATTTTTCCATTTATTCTATTTGCTTGAGCAAAGATTACTTTAACTTAAATAAGGACGAAGAGGCTTGTTTTTCTGACAAAAGGAAGATGATTCAGGTTGAAAATCCAATTATAATGTTTTTCAGATCGATTATTCAAGTTTGTGTTATTCGTCGTTTTCAATTGATTCTTCATCTTCTTCTCATTCATTAAATCTCGTAAGTAAAGACCATTTTAGCTTCAATCAAAAATGAATTGGTTCTTTAAAAACAAAAAAAGAATCATCATTTCAATTCAAGATTTACTTTTAACCTTTTTTATAGATCAAGTCATACAAATTAACATTGTCTGTTGTTATTTATAAATTTTTGAACTTGTTGTCGTTTATTGAGTCTCGTCAGTAAAGCTTTCTTTAGGTAGAATAACAGAGAAGATGTCTGTCTTTTAAGAGGGCCCCCTAAGAAAATCCAATTTTTCGGAGACGAGTCGAAATTGAAGTTTTCTCATAGGAAGATGCATCGAAATCTCCTCTTTCAGAATATCTATGGTTTATCGCAAAATGAATTGATTTTGACGAACTTATCGTCTAAAACTTGGCTTCTACTATCATATTTTTCGAGAAATTCTCATGGTTTTGTGCAAGCTTTTTCGAATTTTTAGGCTTCTTTCTCTTTGCATCAGCATTTCGTAAAGTTTTTTTTTTATACTAATCACTACGAGACTATTAAAACTTAATATTAAGATCACATA